CAATAAAAATACAAAATGAAAATTACTTTAACCAACAACAGACGGACTTTGGTACATTATGTAGTTGAACCACTTTTTATTGTGTGTAACTGTACCTTAATTGCGTGTTGTAGACATCTGAGGACTTTTTACGAGAACTACTGACAGTAAATAAGTATTACAGTTTTTACGTGCACCAAATACCAATCCAATATCGGCCCGAACAGTTAACCGAATTCGACAGTTACCTTTTATTATTGTGACTCATAGTTAGTTCCATAACATTCATGTGTCATATTTTATTTAAATATGCTACTGCTTTCCCAATACGCATTGCGCAATAAAGGACTCTATTTAAAAAAAAACGAAACGGTTTTAATTGCAATGTTAATTTTGGCATCTGCTGCGTTTACTTGTGCTCATTTCTTGAATAATTCAAAAATAATATTCCCGGAGACAGTCGAAGATGTTTTGTGACTTTCGCCAAATATTGTTTCTTGAAAACGGTGATCATTGCACTTTCTGGGTCAATTTTTCTTTTGACATCTTTCTCCGAATATATTCAGCAGGAAAAAGCTTCATTTTAAATCTTTTATTTTGGTCGGTTCTCGGAAGGATTTACCATATTTGAACGATTCTGAGTTTTAGGATGAAACCTGTTTTGTATTTATTCAGTTGACAAACAACTTCGCGTTCATATTTCGTAATGCATGAGCACACATCATCATACATTCCTGTTTTAGAACATAACTATGACATAGGTAAAGAAAAATCTCTCATATTCATGAAAGTTTCTTTACCAAACGTTGCATGTTTGGGAGCTTTTCACAATAGTTTTTCGGGTCTTTCAACAACTTTACAGGTACTCGTAGCTCGGTTACCAATGTTTCAAATGTAGATAAGTGTCATTCATGCATAGCATTATTTTAATCAAAATAAATAGATTGGCCTTTGTCCAGCAGTGGACGTCTTTCGGCTGAAACGAACGAAATAGATTAGACATGGTAATTACCAGAATAAGGTCACATTTTTCTTTTTTTGTTCACAAAGGTATACAAATAATGAGTTTAGTGAACTGATTCATTAGGCCAAATAAATAAATGTCCAGAGCCTTTGTAAGATTGGAGTTTTTGTAATTTAAAACAGGCATTTACATCTGCTTAGTTTTAAAGCAGCAATGACCAAAAATAATTAGTAGCGATGTTTTTAGGTCCAGACAAGGTAATTGCGTTAATCATCGCCTAACATTTATTAATATCTACAGACTCTAAGAAGTATTAATACCTAAGTATGTACCGATCACATTTGTGTTTGAAAGCTTGAAGTGCTTTCATCTGTAAAAAATATTCTTAAAATATTATTACGTTACTAGGATTTGTGAAAAAAGGTGTTGATTTTAAAAGTCAAAGAGAGAAACCAAACTTAACATAATAATATCCTCGAGAGATTTTCTTCAAAAAGTTACGTGAAAAAATGCACTAGTTAACAATTTACGTAGCATTTAACTCATATCTAAATTTATGCTCGGATATCAAGATTCAGGTCGGCGAGACGAGCGATAAGACACGGAGGAAGTGGGACACCGTTTTGCAAATATTGGCACTTTGTGCGCTTCTCACAACCAAGACACATTTGAAACTGTCGTAGTGTAGCATGTATTTATCGATAACTTCAGACAATCGTTAATAAAATAAAAATGTTGTCCTTATACAAATTAATATAGCAAGAGTTCAAGTGTTGTTAAAAATGAGACGCATGAAATGTAGAGTCGATGATTTCTTTAGATTTTTTTTACAGAATTCATACCTATCTACACTAATATAGATATTTCATTTTTTCTTTGTTTGAATTTAGTATGCGCCGAAACTAAAGGACCGATTTGAAAAATTGAAATCGTAAAATCTAGCACCCGAATGTAAAAATGTCATCATCATCATCATTAATTTCAGCCACAGGACGTCTCCTGCCTTCAACGGTGACGTCTCACCAAGATGTACGAGTACTTGTCGATATTGCAAATAAAAATTTTACTTATCGATAATAATTTCGCAAATACCCAACTGCACTCAACTGATAAGTGTTACTCACGTCCTGCTCGAAGGAAGTGAACGTCCTCGCGATGTTCTTGGTACCTTCGTGCGGGGAATCCACATGGCTTTTGAGAATAGGCGATTTATTGCAACAGCGTGTGGCTATCGACATCGGTTATTTTATCGACCTTTTCTTGGTACTATGCTTATTTATTTCTATTGTATTCCAATTAAACTTATGATTATAGAGTTGATACAGTGATTATAAATAGCGACATGAGTTGGATAAACAAAATGTAGCTTGAATTGAGAATTTGCTCCAGTTTCATTAGTTTATTATGTATTGATTTTGCGATAACGTGATTTATGTTTGTGCATTATTAATCTAATATCTGGGTTTATCTAGGTCGACAAAGAGTGCTTTTAGGGGTACCGACTCCCCACCCAGGGCCGTGTGATAACTATCTACTTGCACTTTTGTTAGACTTCAGAACAGTCAGATACCAATATCATATGAGCTTGTAAGGAAAATTACGACTACCTATTTTATATTTCAAACGTAAACGTAACGTAAACGTACGTTTAATTACTTGCGATATGTACAGATTATATACCTACTGTCAACCGCACTTTAGAGTATCTTCTACCGTAAAACAACCTTTATTACAACTATACAAGACATTCAAAAGATTAACTTCATTTGCCGTAGCCTATACATAAGTGTGAGTCATATTTTTTCTTGACATATCAATTTATCGGCACGTAGCTAATTAGTAGGTATATGCTGAATATACGCTGCACCCACTCTGCAATCTGGGTGACACAGATTGGTGGAAGCCTCAGACCGCCCTCGATAGAACAGAGCCATGCAAATTACTTGTACAATGGTAAATAACTAGATTCCTTGTAGCCTAATTGTCTGGTTTTTTTTTTCAGCTTCTGTTATGAGGTACAATATTTTTTATAATAACTTTTTCTTTCCTGAAAACTTCCGACTTGTTGCAATATGGTAAAAAAGTGCCAGTTTATTGTACCCGTCTATACAGGGTGTTAGGTAAATGGGTATATGAGCCGACACTAGCCCATGTTAACATGGGCATATAAATGGTATGGTGAAGTCAGAAAATTGATATCTTCATTTTAATTTTCATACAAATCAGATGTTATAAAATTTATTTTGTATGAAAATAAAAAAAAATTGCATACATTGCAATTTGCAAAAAAGTATTTACATACTTTACAGTAAATCAATGCGCTGCGTAAATTACTGTTCAGTTTAACGACTAATTGCTTTGATTAAGTAGGTAAAATATTTTCCAATCCATTTTAATAAATGCTTAACGTTTTAATCCTATACCTATATACCGTCACAGAAAGCTCTAAGATTTGATTACATAATAAATTCATATAAATTATTTCTGGACACTGATTCAAAGATAAAATGTGTCTATCTATGACCCGAGGTGACTAACTGCATTAGCCAATAGAATAAAAGGACAGGACAAACGGCGGCAAAATGGCCGACCATGAAGGTGAAGTGACACTTGAAATTAACATAAGGATGCTTCTAGGTATCGGCTGTCAATGGAGCATTGTTTTCGGTTGTCTAGCCACTATTCCGGTTATCGAGAGGACATCCGCTTCCTCTGCAGAATTTTGCATTTAGAGAAAGTGCGGTTCAGGGTTGACAAAAATAAATGTAGTCATGAGAAGACAATTAAAAATAACTGAAGGTAACTAAGGGCTGAAGCGTTTTTATCCTGGTGAGCATTTTTCATTTTGTCAGTTCGTACACAAATGTTGACAGTGCAGGGGCTCATATCTTCACTCCCTGATGGCTACGTTTTTGAAAAATTAACTGACGAAAAATCTACATTATCAGTACTAAAAACATTATGTACTAATATTTTACACAATAACGAAAACACATCTTTTATAATCATAATTAATGTGTCTGAAAAATACGAAACGTAAACCGTATGAAAATTATGTCGATAGTTTTCTGGCAGCCCTACATTCGTTATTCATACATGGAAAAGGAAGATCCTTTTACGCAATATCATTTATCGGTTGATGCAATTTTATAGGCTCATTTGTTTTAAAAGCCTGTGTAATGTGGCGGCTACTGGAGCCGTAGCTGTTTTATTACTGCCTGTACTTAACCGTCGTTACGTCATTCGCATTTTTAAAATAATTCATGAATTGCAACATAGTGCTATGTGGTTGAGTTACTTGTGTTTAATTGATAGCTTCGAGACATAAATCATTATCGTACCTCTATGTCAGATTTTATAAGGTAGAGTCCAGTGCCACACTGCACCGAGTCGCATTATTGAACTCACATCTTGTATTAATGAATACGATATGTTAATGTAGGTATTTATGTAGCTCTTCTTTCAAAATAAATATTCATTGCGTCAGTTCAAAGTGTCTTCACTTTGAATTATTAGAAATCTTCCATAAAATGCTTTAATAGCAATTACAGAAAGTGCGTGGCAATAAAACAGAAATGGCAGACGAAGCACGATTGTTCTTGACCTCCATCCCATGGGAATTCCTCAGTACTCGGCACGAGCGAACAAATAAAGTATAAACTTTTCTCCCCTCTCTTCAACCTTCAGAGGATCCGACAAAGACTTCTGGCGCCGCTAATGCATTTAATTTGAATGAAGGCTGCAGCTTATCTGAGGTTGAATGCATAAAGCAGCGTTGCAATGTTAATCGGAAAATGTAGAGTCTTATCTGATAGGTTTTTTTCCTTCTATTCTTTCGAAATGATTTGAAATCTTTTTATATTATGTAGATGACATTTCGTATTTATACTAAACAAAGTTAGTATTGGTAACTGGTTCAGAATATTTTTAGAGCATAGTAAATTGACAGAGACAATATTGATGGAATTTTTTGATTAAAGTTCATTCACCATTGCTTATACGAGTAATACTTACTAATACGCAATTAACAAATGAATGATGAATAAATCAAACTTACCTAAGGAGAAGGTTGAGGGAGCTGTCATTCCTGGTCGTTGGCACGTCCTTCACGCTGGAAGGCTCGCTGCGGACGCCCCGGAGGGAGAGCCTCAGCTGCCGCGGGATGGAGTTGAGAAGCCCGCTGCTGTTCCTCCGCTGGTTCAAACTCTTCGACCGCGTCAACTTGTTCGCCTCCACGTCCAACACACGCGGGTGAGACGACACCTCCTCCTTGCAAATCGTCGAGCTCGAAGCATTCGTTTTAATTATAGTAGGAACAGGAGATTTCGAATTTCCCAACAGTTCGTCCCACGGCGACGCTAGGTCCTCCTCCGATATCGTCTCAAAACTTCTAGGACCAACCGACGACGAGGTCTTGTCAGACATCTTGGAAACACTAAAGGTAAGGCGAGACGGAACGTAGCACTACAGACACCTACAGGGCACTTCGTCACTTTGGATTTTTAGTTTCTTGACAACACTTCACTCTTATCATAATATCCATTTGTAAATCATAATGTTTGGGGTAGAAATGTTGACACTGTAACAAAAGAGAAACGTAATATTAGTAACTGCAATGGTATTTTATAATGCTGCAATTATCTAAGGCAGAAGCTAAAACCAAAAAAAGATTGTCTATTACTGTAATGGAGTCACGGAGATGTAATTTCATACGGTGCCGAATAATATTGCGAAACTTTCAACATTGAAAGTAAGTAAGGCACTTTCGTGAGTGAAATCTTTACTTTTACTTATGCTGAAATATTGCATAAATTGCATTGTGTAGGTACCCCAAGAAAGACTACAATTGCAGAAGATCATCCTTCCTATTCTATTAAATTTGCACTAAGAACATTTTCGCGTTGCATTCTTTAGAGCTCCAAAAGCTTTCTAAGTGTACATTAAATATTAAACAGAGTAAGTATTGTTTGAAGAGAAAGGAACAGCATGGATGCTGTAAATTCGCAAACATAATAATGCATCGGGCATAATTACTATGCACACAGACTTTTAGTTTCGCTAACTAGCAATTAGACTGAAATCGAGACGAGAATAAATGCTAATTTGCATTTAGAAACTGCGATTACGTTTTAATATTTTAAGCAATGTCTCTTTGGTCGCATGGCTTTGATTATACCTATATATGCTATGGACTTAAATCTGTAGGCTGTACGTACATAAACGATTTAGGCAATTGCTCTGAAGCGATTAGAGAGTTACAAAAAAACTAAAAAGTTTTTTGTAGTCGTTGCGCCTTGTATAATTTGCGGTCAGTTTTTGCGGCCTAAGTTAACTTTAATTGATCTTAATGATGACCCGTGACGGTGTTTTTCGCGAAAGTAAAACTTGCTCCTAATGCGAGCCTCGTAAAGGAAACGATGTGTGAAATGAATAGAGAAAGCGGACCAATTCAATATGCGACTTTTACTCGTCATCACGTCAGTACATACCGTTCCAAAACTGAATCATTACCCTCGTTTGTATTAGTCATTGAATACATTAATATTCATATAAAAAGATCAGTTACTATTTTATCTTAGTGGAAAATAATCGGAAAAATGTCTGATGTCATACGCCCATGAGTAATCAGGCGACTTTCAAATTCGTCTCTGAAAATTAAATACTTTGAAACCCGCTAGTGAAACGAATTCATTTACAATGCATAATGAATGTACCTATTGAAAAATGGGCAATCCATAAATTTTTATACTACTGCTACTTTGTTTCACGTACTTGGTGTGTGATTTTCATTGGAAACTGTAATTCAGTCTTCTGTTAATGTGGTGACTAATTGAGTATTTTTCGATTTTACTATGAAATCGATTTTTTAATAACCTTTGTTAGTTTAAGTAGACTCTTTGGTCATACTTTTAATGCACTTTAAAAAGAGAATGTGCATATGACCTACCCACAGCGGCATCTGTGGCAGCATCGAACTTCTTTTGTCATTTTCGATTTTTTTAAATACACTTCAATTCCAAATTCAAATCAGTTTGACATTCGAATTGGGTCCGGAAGACGGATTGTAACTTTACACGCAGGGCGAGATGGGCCATCGGGCGGCTCGGTAATAGCGGTCGTATTTTAGATGCGCGAGCCTGCCAAATGTTCGCGAATGTGGGTCAATGCTCCAGCCCGCCAGACTCACTTTACTTTTTACCTGTATACGAGGGCGGCACTGAAAATTTCGGGAATCAAGGAAGTGAAACAACATTACTATTTAAAAATGTATTTATTGCTTTTTAAAATATTCTCCGCGAAATTTGACACATTTTGCCATACACAAAACCAATCATTAAAGCAACCATTCCATTCGGAAGTTTGGGTCTCCAAAATGGCCGTTTTGTAGGCGTCCACAGCTTTTCAGGTGATGAAAATCTCTGACCACGCAATTTATTCTTTATTTTAGGGAAAGTATAGAATTCATTAGGGCTTAGGTCGGGGCTGTACGGCGGATGGTCTAATATTTCTATGTTTTCTTGCTCTAAAAACTCTTTTGTTCAGTGCGCGGTGTGAGAACTCGCATTGTCGTGATGGAGGATGATGCGGCGGTTGCAGTTCTCTTTACGGAGTTCAGAAACGACTTGTGGCAAACAAATGCTAGCATACCATTCTGCATTAACCGTTCTTTGTCCCCCAAGAGGAATAGTCGCAACATGGCCGGTTTTGGAGACAAACGTGGCCACCATTTTTTTTGCAACACTCCGTGAACGAACAATTTTTGTTGGCTTTAACTCATTTTCGAACACCCAAACTCGTGACTGGTTTTTTGTTTCGGGTTCGTACGCGTATATCCAGGATTCGTCACCTGATACGATGTTGTATACAGCATTTGAGGATCCTGCATGTAATCTTCCGAGAGTTCTGACGCACCAAGTAACGCGAGCCGCTTTTTGCTCTTCACAGAGCGAATGCGGTATCCATCGGGAAAACAACTTTTTTACACCTAATTGTTCATGCAAGATTATTTGTATTTGACTCATGCCAATGTCTAAAGTTGCCTGAATTTCGCGGTATGTCACATGTTGATCTTCTTCAATCAGCTTACGCACAGCATCAACGTTTTCTTGGGTGACTGCAGTTTTTGGACGACCTTGACGGGGATCATCACTGAGCTTGACACGTCCACGTTGAAATTCAGCAAACCAGCGATAAATTGTGGTTTTGGATGGGGCTTCACTACCAAATGCAGAAATCATCCGGTCAACACACTGTTTTTGTGTTAAACCACTCCGAATGTCATAATAAATCATCGCTCTTGAATTTTCTCGAGTCAATTCCATTTTCTCAACGACTAAACAAGTTTCACAAGACCTTGTGATAAGACCGAGAATCTTTTTTTAAATAAATAAATGGTATTCAATTTTTAAAACCCAGGAGTTTGCAATTAAAAAAAAATTAATATGATAGGAACAGTGGAAATATTCCATTCCCGATACTTTTAGTGCAGCCCTCGTATTTCTGTTAACTTCAAGTGCAAAAGAAGCTTAAACGTTTAGCAGACTTCAAAAAAGGGAGGAGCTTCAACTTAATGAAGCAGAATACATTAATTATGACAAACAGAATCCGAATCAAATCGTATCGTACTTTGACCCAGATACAACCAAGCTATTATTATAAATGTCAAGATATTATCGGAATTCTATTATTAGATATTGAAGATTTCATCAGTTATTAGTGTCTTAACGAAATAATGAGATGAATAGAGAACGTATAAATATTAGATTCACGGTAAATGTTAACAAAATTCCTAACAAAATAAACTATGTAATTTAATTTAACTCTAACACAGTAAAGGCAACTCGCATTCCTAAGTTAGGCCAAGGTCAACTGGGCCCTTACATTCCTTATGGCGAATTGTTATGCTCGCATACCACAGGTTTAGAACCTTCGGTTCATAAATTCAGTTGATATTAACCAATTAAAGAAATCTTCAACGCATATAAAATATCGTTAAAGTTTACTGTAAAATATTTAACAATTTGAAAAACAGCTCTTAAACTTCCAACATAACTTTATAATATTACCTACTGTACGACTGTTTTGTACTCAGTCATTATTGTCACAAGTAGGTTCGTACCAAACATATTCCACCCAAACACTTGTATTTGCTTCCTACTATTGTACTCGTGCTGTGTCCCTTATGTCCTTTCTGAAAGAACAGTAAACTTCATGATAAATATGCTTTAACAATTTTTATGTCTAAAACGAATTACAGTTTAAATTGATGATGAAATATCGAAGCATCCACTACATCACTCATGTGATATCGCACGTTTGTTACACGCAAATGCTCGGTGAGTAGAGCGCAGTATAAAAACAACAGATTGTGAGATATAAAAAGCAAAGCATGCTGAATTAATCGCTCTTCAGGCGCCTTGGTATACAATATCGAGTCACAAGGATGTAATTACGAGCTATAACTGAGATATTAACATAAATAGCAGCTAGGCGATGGATATCTTAAACGTGCGGCTGCAAAATCAACAAATGAATAAACGCAATAAGTAACAAGCTTTTGTTTTTTAAACGCAGTGACGTCAGAAACTTGCATCGGCCGTTAATTGTTACGGTTATAAAGTTGAAATAAAGAGATGGATGGCAAAAAGGAAAGTATGATAAAATTCCTGAAACATTAACAACATACCTGAAATATTCAACTGAAGACGAACGATTTCAGTTTTCATAAAAAAAATTCACGAGATAAAATTTTCATTTGAAGACATTACTCAGAAATGTTTTCTACTAATCTTATAACAATACCTATTGCCTGCGCGTGAGCTTTCTGCCAAAACATTTATTTAGAATGGTATGTTTGCCGTTTTCCCGGTATAATACTTTTTCTTCTTATCCATTTCGTATAATGAGTCTGAATTTTGAATGAATATAATCCAGCATGATTCATTATCAAGACGTTTTAATGATATTACAGCGTATTGAACTTTTCCTTCTTATCTCTTTTAAATGATGCAATGAGTATTTTATTATGCTTTCCACTATCATTTAAGACACCAACAAACATGACCTAACATTATTGTAACATATTAAGTTACATTACCTACTTTTGTTTCGAAATGATGCACATGCTATGTAACATTATGAATTCAGCATACAATGTGTGTTTTAGTTGCGTTCACAATTAGCAGCTGTATTAAAAACGAGGACGCAAAGAATAGACGAGTGAAAATACATTTCTCAGTTCAAAGAAATAGAAAAGGCCGATAACACTATAAAAAAATTGCATTTTTGCGTGATTTTGCTTTAGTCTGTTCGTACGAATTCTAGATTCATCACTTTCAAAAAAGAACATTAATATAGTAACATATACCAAAACCTTTTCTTATTGCGTTTTAACATTAATAAAGATATTGATAGAGTATAAAATTTTGATATTCATTACTTTTTAATCGATCATAAATTATTTTATAGAGCAATCAGATAGTGAATAAACATTTGGGTTTATAACTTCTGCAATGAAAACGTCAATAAAATGAACTTTTATTAAAACTATCAAACTTATACCACACATCATAATCGCAG